CGGTTCCCTGCCCCAGCCCAGGGCCCAAACGCCCTGGCGGGGTCAGGAGAGGAGGTGATGACCACTAAGCCAGGTGCAGAAGGGATGGATGCCAATGTCGCCATCAGGGCCCTGCCACCTTGAGGTTCCCCAACTCCCCCCCTCCTCCTTCCCTTGCTGCTGCGTCACCACCATGGTGGGTGGGCAGCCCCCAGGGAAGGGAGAGGATGGGAGCGAGACAAACCCTTGTGTCAAGGGCTGACTTTCAATAGATTGCAGCGAGGGAGCTGCTCTACTATGTACAAAACCCCAAATCAGAAGCAGGTCATCTACGAATGGTTTAGCACCAGGAGCTGATGGGGGCCGGCCGGTCAGGGGGAGGGGCCACAGGAGGTTGGCTGTGGGAGTGCACTGACCACCAGGGGGCAGCTCCTGTGTTGAGCGTCTTCCCCCTGGTGGTCAGTGCGCATCATAGCGACTGGTGAGCGGTCATTCTGGTCGTTCAGTCATAATGGTTGCTTAGGCTTTTATATATATAGATAACTTCACTGGAAAGTGTTTCTAAAACGTGTACTCTCTTCTCTTTCTAAGACTGACAATATCTGCTCCCTCTTGGTGACATGTGAGTCATGACTTTAAATAGCAGTTCCAGTGGAAGAGATCCCAAGGAGGAGTGGAAACAGATCTGGATTAGGGATCAGAACATCCCCTTCCTGCCAGCTGTATTGCAAAGGAACCCCAGGCACCTCTGAGCCCTATTTTCCTCGTATGACAAAAAGGAAATGGAGGTGGTGATGCTTGCCTTTTTTTTTTTTTTAACCTTGGGGGGTAATTACTTTAAATATGTGTGAAATGAATTAGTAAATTTAAAGCATAAGTTATTTCAGTTTTTGGCATATAGGACTTGCTCCATAAATGTTGAATGACTTCTATGGTGCTAAGAATCTCCATGTACAAGATATAGGAAATTGGGCTGAATCTGTGCAAATCCTAATCTCATTAACGATTAAATCAAGGTTAGTTTTTTTTTATACTAAATTCCTCATAAGAGCTAGTTCTGTTAGCTTCTTTTACAAAGTGTGATATAGGGAAAGAATCAGGTAAATTGAGGGTTTCATTCATTGAGTTCAGGTTTATCTGAGCTGCTATCATACAAGAAAGACATTAGTAATGCATTTATTTTTTAAACTTATTCAACAAATTTTTACCAAGGACATTTGGGATATATGATTGAACAGAAGCAGACATGATCTTTGCCCTCAAGGAGCTGACAAGGAGCCGGTACTGTGAACTCGCTCACACATCAAAAAGGAGAGGGGAGAGGCTTCATCTTCCTTGACCAGTTTCCTTAGTCTCTGCAAATGTCTCTTTGACCAGAGCCTAGGAGGAGGTGGGAGAAGCAAGACAAACACGAAGATCTAGCAGTCCAGAAGAGGGCTGGGGCCTGAACATAAACCCCACATAAAGGTTTTTATTTATTTTTAATTTTTTTTCCCACATAAAGGTTTTTAGATCACTGCCTTGGCTGGCGGTAGGGGAGAGTTGTTTTTCCACCAATGCTGAGACACCCTCAGTGACTTTGACATTTCATCCAAAAGAAATGCTTTATTTAAAACACCTATGGCAGTTCCAAGTTGGTGAGATAAAGATTACTAGCATGGGAGGGGCCCCGCTCTCCTCACCCCACCTGGATAAGCTTGAGACCTGATTCCATCCACAGTCCGATTGAATGCATCCCTCTCTCCTTGTGCAGAGTTCGACCTATGCAACGGTACACAACAGCCCTGAATTCCACCCACCATTTTTTGGCTTATGACCAAAAAATGCACCAAATTTAGTTTCTGTTCCCACATGTATAACATGTTCCACAGTCTGTGAGTTCTCTCAAAGCGTTAACAGCATGCCTTGAGAAGGGAAACTGAAGGAACCTAGGAGCATTTTCTTTACCAGCTCAGGCAAGGGACTGAAAAGTCAAAAATTAATTGTTTGAAACGTTAAGTTTTCGATCTTCACTCCCATCGACTGGCTATTTGGATAAATTGGACAGTGCATCTCTGACTAGGCACCAACCTCAGTGGCTCAGCTGGGGCCACAGCAGAGGCAGAAGACAGCAGGAAGTGTGCTGGTGGATTCTAACCTCAGACCACTAAGAGCACTCTCCCTCTTTCTGCATCACTGAGACACCCATGAGTGATCTCTGAAGCAGGCTGATGTCCTCAGATGTAAACCTAGTCTGTGGCTATGAACCATTAAGGATGCTTGATAACTACTAATTAAATGAATTAGGTGCACACTATATAATTACTAATGTTCTACATTTCCCCTGTCTTTGCTGCACCACGACAGCAAAAAGTTTCCAGGGCAATTAATTTGTATAAGCAACAACAACAACAACAAACAAACAAACAAAAATACACAAAATTAAATTAAGAGGTCACACACCAGTAGCAAAGACAAGATCAGAAAAACACTTTCTAATCAGAAACCGAAAAGAAAACAGGGCTTTTCTAAAATAGCGAAATCAGGGTTTGTATGGTGGCATTCTTTCAACCAAGTTTTCATAAGTATTTCCTGGAACAGGCCCAAGGATGGAATCCTAATTTAGCCTATTCTTTTTCAGATGTACTTGAATTCACTTGCTTAGGTTTCTGCCTCCCCCACCTTCCCTCGAGTGGCACTGTAGACCGTGTTTGCTAGTCTCTTCTCCAGGATAGGAGGCTTGGTCCATCCTCAGCTGCTTCGTATCAGGGAAGTTTCTCCAGGCCTTTGCTCCCTCTGGTACTGCTCATCAAGGCCACTCTCCACTGCTCTGCACCCCCAGCCCCAAAAGATATTCTCCTATGAAAATTAACCACTCCCTCACCTGAGGAGGTTATTGTCTGAAAAATATTTTCTGGGAGGAATCTGGTGCAAGAAAATACGAAGAAAGGTGTAGTCCTTGACTGACATCACTTAAAACGTCACTGAGCTGAAGCAACGTGGGTTCCTGTGGCTAAAGGATTCATGCAGCCTAAGAACCAGGAGAGGTAGCTCTTGCTGTGTCAGCCCCGGGTGAGGATTTAGCAGCACACACACCAGGTTGGAGAGAAGGTCTCTAAGGAAGCATTCACTCTCATGTTAGCCTCCACAGGGCAGGCCTCTGGCTTGGCATCCACTTGGCCCACACACGAAAGCCATTGCCAAAGGGAAGACGTGAAGGCCCCCTCCTGCTCCTGGAGTTCTCCCTGGCAGGTCAGCTGGCTGACTTGGCTTCAGAGTTTGACAAACATTAGCTTCTATGCCTGCTCCTTGAGGTTAAACAATGTTCAGATGAAGGCAGGGGAGGGAAACATCAAAAGCCCATGTCTCTCTCCTTTCTGTTCTTGAATGTTTTTATTTTTTAAAAAATATATCTTTATTGATTTCAGAGAGAAGGGAGAGGGTAAGGGAGATAGAAACATCAATGATGAGAGAGAATCATTGATTGGCTGCCTCTTGCATATCCCCTAATGGGGATCAAGCCCACAACCCAGGCATGTGCCCTTGACCGGAATCAAACCTGGGACCCTTCAGTCCACACACTGATGCTCTATCCACTGAGCCAAACCAGCTAGGGCTTCTTGAATGTTTTTAAAAAGGAGTTCGGCCCTAACTGGTTTGGCTCAGTGGATAGAGCCTCAGCCAGCAGACTGAAGAGTCAAGGGTTTGATTCAGGTCAAGGGCATATATCTTGGTTGCAGGCTTGGCCCACATTGATGTTTCTCTCTCTGTGTCTCTCATCCTCCCTCCTACTCTTTCTAAAAATCAATGGGAAAATATTCTGGGGTGAGGATTAACAAACAAACAAACAAAATGGAGTTTGATTTGGATGTAGAAATTTAAATAAAAACAACCCCCTCTCCTTTTGGGGGATTCTTTTCCCACTGTTTGTCAGGGGTTAACTAAGGTGGTTTGGGACACACACACATTCACACACACACACAAGCATCAGCATCCCCCAGCAAGTCAGCGGTCCCTGCTCTGGTACTCACGTTTTATCCCCAAGGAAGTATGGGCCTCCGAGACAAAAACCCACAGTCACTGGGCAGTAGAGTTTGGTGAGCAGCCAGAGGGCTGGTGGGCCCTGGCTGCTCTTGCCATGAGGGCTTCTTTAGCCTGGTTTAGTAGGAATCAGTCGGTGTAATTTCTGCCATGGCGACCCAGAATCTAGTTGTCCCGGCTCCAAGTGCAGTCTTCTACGTGTAACAAGAGAATACGGGCTTCTTTGAAACAGGCTTCTTAGAGCATAAGCACAGGGAGCCAAGTGTGAAGGGTGTCAGCAGCGGTGACACGCCCTGGGGGAAGATGTGGGACTAGCTGGGCTCTGAGCCAACAGCAAGAGAGGGGAAGGCGGCTGGGAGTCAGAGGAGTTCTCCCAGGATCCTGTTTGCTTAAAGTGACCCCCTCACCATTGCTCTTGCCCTGGCCCCTGGGCATGCACTAATTTTATTCATTAATGTATTCCTTGGCAATCAAGTAATTCTCATACAAATGGTATTGTTTAGTCCCTATAACCCAGGAATTAAGTGGCATTATCCCCATTTTACTGATGAAGAAACCATGGATTCAGAGTAGTTTATAAAATGTGCTTCCTAAGGTAAGGCTATTAGTACTGGCAAAGACATGAAGTCTCGGGCTTCCTGAAGTTCTCTCCCTTGCATGCCTATAGTCAGTGGACAAGTGTGTACTATAGTCCTAGCATGGAGCCAGCATTAATTGGGCTCTGTTGAGAAAACACCATGACTTGGTTCCTGCCATCCTGGCACTTACAACCTGGTTAGCCAGATTATCAGGTGAGGAAGGCCTGGATGGTATGCGTTTAATGAATTTTGGGGTATGCACTCAGCAATTGGTTCTTGAGCATTATGTGCCAGACACTGGGATAGGAGTAGACACAAAGATGACAAGGACACAATTTCTATTCTCAAGGCAAGGGACGTTCACTGCTTAAAACTGTTCGGTGGCTTCCTATTGCTTCTAGGGTGAAATCCAAAATTCTTGACATGGCTCACGGGGCTGTAGATCAGATCTCTCTCCCGCCTTCCTTTGCTCCCTCCCCCACACTGGGCTTTGCTGCAGTCCTCAATAAGGCTAAACCTCCTTCCCTCCCTGGGGTCTTCACACCCTGGGGTGTCTTCATGGAAGGGTCCTTTGAGCAGGATCTTGAAGAATGCATAGGAAATTTCCCAGAAGAAAGTGATGGGGAAGACAGTGGAATTCCAGGTAGAAGAGTTTAAGTGGGGAGGGTACTAAGTGAATAAGAGTGGCTGGGGGGAAAAAGAAGAAAAAAAAAAAAAAAAAAAAAAAAAAGAGTGGCTGGGAAGTTTTCCAGAAAAGGCAAAACATTCATTCTGTGTATGTACCTGATATTCAATAACTATCTGTTGAATGGAACCGGGCTGGGGATGTGCAGTGTGCAGAATGGGAGAGCAGGAGAGTGAGGGCAGGACCACAGAAACAAAGCCTCAGCTGAGCATGGGGGGCAGGGGGGTGGGGAGGGGAGGGGCTGGGAGTGATGGTGTCAGAGAAGCCATGTAAGAGGCAGTTTGGGGAGGTGGGGCAGTGATTTGTGGGAGGGTGGGTGCTTATGGGGTGGGGTGGGAGATTGGAACTCAGCTATTTGTTTTGTGACATTGGACAACTCATTTCTCTTGTCTGGGCTTCAGAACTTGTCAGGAAGATGGAGCCTCCAAACCTATAAGCCTCTCCTTTCCAGCTGAAATGGGCGCTCTGTCAGGTGATGACAAAGAGTTGCAGAAGCCAGGATGGATGCAAGACCCTGGAAAAGAGGAGGAAATCCCAGAAGGATAGAGGGAGCCCAGGCAGAGTGCTGGCATCAGAGCCCT